GGGAGTTTATTCTAATTTTCCATCGAAGGAACCAGTCTTCAATTAGGCTTAGCTCACTCTGCAGGAGTTCAGAAGCTTCATTTATAGATGTGCTTGTGGCTAAAACGGCTGTATCATCAGCATATGTTGCAACAGTGCAGTTGTTTGTAACTGGCATGTCGGCCGTATATAGGGTGTAGAGAATTGGTCCCAATACGCTTCCTTGTGGGACGCCTGAGTTGATGAGAAGTAGTGATGAACTATCGGTTTTCTGCTGCACGTAAAAGCATCTTTTAGCCAGATATGATTTCATTAATAAATAGTACGGAGCAGGTAGCCATTTCTTTATCTTGTACAACAAACCTTTGTGCCAGACTCGATCGAACGCTTGTTGAACATCAAGAAATGCAGCAGTGCAGTATTTTTTGTTTTCAAATGCCGAAACTATATCATTAATAACCCTGTGACATTGCTCAGGGGTCCCATGACCCCTCCTGAATCCGAATTGGTATTCAGGAATGATGGAAAGTTCGTCTAAAATTGGTAACATTCTTTTCAATAGTATTTTTTCAAACACTTTCGAGAAAATTGTCAACAGACTAATGGGACGGTATGATGTCAATTCCGTTTCTATTTTGTTTGGTTTTAGGATCATAACGATCTCTGCACATTTCCATTGACTTGGAAAGTGGTCTAGTCTGAGAATCGCGTTATATATAAGAGTGAGAAACCGAATGCATTTTGGTGGTAAACTTTTTAGGGTGATACCGTCTATTTTATCAGGGCCTGGTGCTTTTTTATTGTTCAAGCATTTGATTTCTGTCACAACTTCTTCATATTTAATGCTTTTAATAGGCAAGCTCATTTGGCAGGGTGACTCAAGGAATTTTTCTACTTCAGTCTCTGTTGTATAATTATTTATATCGTTTGGCTGAAACACAGAGTGCAGATGTTGTGCAAATGCTTCCGCTTGTTCATTATTAGACCTACACCAAGTTTCGTTGTTTTTGCGAATATTTATGTTTCTTTTAGCTGGTTTCTTTAGGTATTTAGTCGCCCTCCATAGGTTGTATTCATTGTTGCTTGAATTAGGGTCTAAGTTTCTCAGATACGCAGCTAGAGATTCATTGCGTAAGTTCGACAGCAGTTGTCTAAGCTCAGATGCAGCCTTGTTGTATAATCTTTTGTCAGCAGGGTAGTGAGTTTCTTGCCAGCGTTTTCGCAGATTCCTTTTATTTTGTATTTTTTGTCGAAGATCGGTTGAAAGGTTCAATTGGTTTGGTTGTTGATGATTAAGAGCATGATTCGTGTTTCTGTAGCTCGCATTATGAATTGTATTTGTGAAAAGCTCCACAGCATAGTCTATCTCCTCTCCTGTTTTTAACGGAATGTCCAGGCTTATAGCTGAATCTAAATGGCTTTTAAATGCGTTAATGTCTGTAGAGGCTGTTATTACTTTATAGGGCTTTTCCAACATATGGGCTATTGTGCTGTAAGTTGCTATTATTGGAGAATGATCTGAGTTAAGGTCAAAGCTCTCCATTACTCGCATGTGTGATTGTGGGATTCCAGAGAATACTATGAAATCAATCAAATCGCTGTTAGAAACATTAGTAATATTAAAAGTCGTGTAACCAAAGAGCCATTGAATTTGTTCTACTTAGACATTGAGCCCAACAATAAGAACTTAGATATATACAAAGTTAAACTCATTGGTAACGCAGTTGTAAATATAGAACCACCCCGTAAAACTAAAGAAATCGTTCAGTGTTATCGTTGCCAGGAATTTGGACACACAAAGTCATATTGTGCCAAAACTCACAGATGTGTGAAATGCTCTCTTAACCATCCCAGCAACGTTTGCCCAAAAGATAAAGAGCAACCAGCAAAATGTGCCAACTGCAACGAAGATCATGCTGCTAGTTACAAAGGGTGTAAAGTCTATCAGGATCTTATATCAAAAAAAATAGTAAGCGGACGCAACCACCAGAGAAACACCAAAGATGACAAAAATAAAAATGACCATGGTACATATCAATCATTTGCTCCGCCTAATAATTCGACCCAACAACCCAAAGATTACCAATCATACGCTCAAGTTGCTGCAGGAAATAGTAACTCGAACAAGTCTCTAGAAAGAATAGAACAGCTTCTAGAAAAACAATCTCAACTTACCAATAATTTACTTAACATGATAATGTTACTTGTAAATAAGCTATGCAAATAAATCTAAA